ATGAATGTTTAGGAAATGCAAACCAAAACCCCAGTGAGATACTACATCATCTCCATTAGGATGGCTATCGTTAAAACAAAAAGAAATAGGGGCGCCTCGGTGCTCAGTCGGTTAAACGTTCAACTCTTGGTCTGGGCTCTGGTCATGACCTCACGGTTCGTGGGTTCGAGCCCTTCCATCAGGGCTAACGGCATGGAGCCTGCCTGGGATTCTCTCTCTCACTGCCCCTCCCCTGCTCTCTCTGTCTTTCAAAATAAATAAATGTAAAATAATTTTAAAAATTTAAAACAAGGGGCGCCTGGGTAGCTTAGTCGGTTAAGCGTCCGACTTTCGCTTAGGTCATGATCTCGCGGTTCGTGGGTTCGAGCCCCGCGTCGGGCTCTGTGCTGACTGCCAGCTCAGAGCCTGGAGCCTGTTTCGGTCTGTGACTCCCTCTCTCTCTGACCCTCCCCTGCTCACGCTCTCTCTCTCTCTCTCCTAGAAATAAATAAAAACATTTTAAAAAAGATAAAAAATAAAAAATAAAAATTTAAAACAAAATGAAACAAAAAGCAGAAAGTAGCACGTGTTGTTGAAGATACAGAGAATCAGAGCCTTTGTGCACTGTTGACGGGGATGCAGCAAACAGTGAGGCAGCTCCTTCTAAGTTAAACACAGAGCTACCCCATGACCAACAATTCCGCCTCTGGGTATTTACCCAAAAGAGTTGAAAGCGTGTTCTCAAAGAGCTATTTGTACATCTGTGTTCATACCAGAATTATTCAAAATAGCCAAGACGTGGAAGCAACCCAAGTGTCCATCGAGGGAAGAATAGACAAACAATCTGTGGTCTATCCGTACAACAGAATATGATCCAGCCTGGAAACGGAAGGACATTCTAGCACCTGCTACAACATGGATGGACCTGGGGGACGTCACGCTCATCAAATAAGCCAGACAAGGGGCGCCTGTGGGGCTCAGTCAGTTAAACATCTGACTCTAGCTCAGGTCATGATCTCACAGTTCGTGGGTTCGAGCCCCGTGTCAGGCTCTGTGCTGACAGCTCAGAGCCTGGAGCTGCTTCGGATCCTGTGTCTCCCTCCCTCTCTGCCCCTCCCCTGCTCACGCTCTGTCTCTCTCTCTCTCTCTCTCTCAAATATAAACAAACATTGAAAAACAATTTTTTTTAATTAAACATGTTTTAACAGTGACAATGGTACCTTTTACGTGTTGTGTATTTTATCACGATTAGAAATTAAGGAAGAAAAAGAAAAAATGAATGGACGGAAAGATGAGGGAGAGAGGGAGAGAGGATGAGCCAAACCTTGCCTCAACTGTTTCCATACACAGCCCTTGAGCTGAAGATAGTTTCTTTTTTAAATGTTTGAAGAAAACAAAAGCATAATTCATAACCCATGAAATGACATCAAATTCAAATGTCATTATTAATAAAGTTTTATTGGCACAGAGCCATGCCTGTTTACGTATAGTCCATAGCCGATTCTGCCCCGGGATGGCGGAGCTGACTGGTTACTAGAGGCACTGTATGCAGGTTACAAACCCAAATGTATTTATCATCTTGACCTTTATGGAAAATGTTTGCTCACCCATGACCCAAAACAGTGTCTGGCATTTAGGAGGTGCTCAGTGTACGGAGAGCTTATTATTAAATGTCTTATGGAAGCATCTGACATGGTTTATGACGCTCGTCTTGGGAGACGATCGAACCAGGGTTGTTTCTGCCCTCTGCCCAAATCAGGCTGGTTCCCTTCTCTAAGCCTGGGTTTCTGCAGCAGGAACAGGAATGTGCAAAGAGCTTCATCCGTTCTGGGAGAGCAAGGGCACAGCAGCCTTAGCTACTGATTGTCACCGTCCCTCGTGAATCCACGCCCCAGCCTCAACAATGAGCGATTCACAGTCCATTCCGTTTCGTCTACTCTCCTCCCTCACCGCCCGCTCGCTCTTATTTTACAGCATAACTTGTATCATGTCTTCTGTAAATATGCCCAAAGTATTTTTCAAAAAGACTATTCTGATTTTTTTTTTATGCCAAAAGAGTGGTTTTATTAAAGCATGGGACAGTACCCACGGGCAGAAAGAGGTGCTCTGTTTTTTAAATTTTTTAAACATTTATGTATTTTCTGAGTGACAGAGACAGTATGAGTAGGGGAGGGGCAGAGAGAGAGAGAGGGAGACACAGAATCCGCTCTCAGCTGTCAGCACAGAGCCCGATGTGGGGCTCGAACTCACCAACTGTGAGCTCATGACCTGAGCTGAAGTTGGATGCCAAACCAACCGAGCCCCTCAGGCGCCCCCAAAGACTATTCTTCAAACTCAGCCATCACACCACGATCGCGCCTTAAACCTTCAGAACCATAATGGTTGTTAAGAACCTACAAGTATGATCAGATTTCATAGCACTATAGCCCCCCCCACCGCCCATGCCAGTAAAAGTACATGTAAAATCTGGAGAAATCTGAACGTGTACCTGGCTGATTGTGTTGTATGTACCAGTATTGCTTTACTGGTTTTGACGACACACAGTGTTTACAGAAGTTGTTATCGTTGGGAGAAGCTGGGTGAAGGTTACCCAAAGCTCACTGCACTATCTTTGCAATTTCTTGCAAATCTGAAAACTGTTTCAAAAATTTCAAAATTGTAATGAAAATTAAACCCTGTAAAATTAGGGTTTGAGCGAGAAGTGAGGTCACATGCAATTGCAGAGTTAGACTCTACCTTGACTTAAACATTTTGGTACTTTTGTCATCATGGATTTTTTTCTGCATTCTTATTTTTTTTAATGTTTATTTTTTTATTTCGAGAGGGGGAGGGAGAGAGAGTGCACGCGTAGGCAGAGCCAGAATCCTAAGCAGGCTCCACGCTGTCAGAACAGAGGCCAATCAGGGCCTTGATCGGTGAGCTCACAGCCTGAGCAGAAATCAAGAATGGATGTTCAAGGGGTGCCTGGGTGGCTCAGTAGGTTAAGCTACCGGCTTCGGCTCAGGTCACGATCTCACGGTTCATGGGTTGGAGCCCCGTGTCAGACTCTGTGCTGACCTCTAGCTCAGAGCCTGGAGCCTGTTTCAGATTCTGTGTCTCCCTCTCTCTCTGACCCTCCCCTGCTCACGCAGTCTCTCTCTCTCTCCCTCTCTCTCTTTCTTAGGAAAAAAAAAAAGAATGGATGTTCAAGCAATTGAGCCACCCAGGTACCCCTTTTTCATTCTTCTTCTTCACTTTTTGTGATTTTTTTAATGTTTTTTTTTTTAATTTATTTCTAGGACAGAGAGAGAGAGAGAGAGCGTGAGCAGGGGAGGGTCAGAGAGAGAGGGAGTCACAGACTGAGCTGGCAGTCAGCACAGAGCCCGACGCGGGGCTCGAACCCACAAACCGTGAGATCATGACCTAAGCGAAAGTCAGACGCTTAACCGACTAAGCCACCCAGGCGCCCCATCACATTCTTATTATTTTTAAAAATCACAATAACATATTTAATAACTGAGTGATTTGGGATGCTTCCTTAAATTTCCNCAGAGCCCGACGCGGGGCTCGAACCCACAAACCGTGAGATCATGACCTAAGCGAAAGTCAGACGCTTAACCGACTAAGCCACCCAGGCGCCCCTGTGATTTTTTTTTTTAAAGAGAGAGAGCACAAGCAGGAAAGAGGGGCAGAGGGGAAAAGGGAGACAGAGAGAGAAGAGAGAATCTCAACCAGGTTCCACACTCAGCAAGGAGCTTGGGGGCTTGATCCCAGGACTCTGGGATCATAACCAGAGCAGAAATCAAGAGTCAGTTGTTCAACTACCCAGTCACTCAGGTGCCTCGCATTTAAAAAAAATTTTTTTTTAACGGTTATTTACTTTTGAGAGACAGAGTGTGAGCAGGGGAGGGTCAGAGAGAGAGGGAGACACAGAATCCGAAGCAGCTCCAGGCTCTGAGCTGTCAGCACAGAGCCCGACGCGAGGCTCAAATTCATGAACCGCGAGATCATGACCTGAGCCACCCAGGCGCCCCATCACATTCTTATTATTTTTAAAAATCACAATAACATATTTAATAACTGAGTGATTTGGGATGCTTCCTTAAATTTCCCTTCATTCCTGCCCCGAGAATCACGAACTCAAGGTATGAGCCTTGGAACATACGTTTTTGGAATTTATTTTTATTTTTATTATTTTAAGACTAAGTAAACTTAACCTCTAAGGTGGGGCTGGAACTCACGAGTCCAACACCCAGAGTCTCACGCTCTCCCGGCACAGCCAGCTGGGCGCCCTGGGAACACACAGTTTTGCTCTCTGGCCTCCCGCTTTTAACACAACCAAGTTTAAGCTGCGCTGTCCCGGGCGCTGGGGAGCCGAGGAGGGCTCTAGAGCAGGGGAGGCTCCAGTTGGCGCAGATTCCAAAGGTTACTGTGGGTGGGAAGGCGGGACCTGCGGGAGGGTCGCTAGCAGGGGCGGAGCAGCGCGGGCTGCAGGGAAGTGGGGGGTGGAGAGGGGGTGCAGTTGGCCCTTCGCGGGTCCCGGGCCAGCAGGGGAGCGTCGCGCCCCCTCGTCCCCGGCCGCGCCAGGCCCCGGATGTGCCGCACGCGGGGCGCCTGGCCGCCGGGGCCGCGCCGTGGGGGCGACACCGGGCGCCCTCCTGCAGGCGCCGGCAGCCGCTGCGCCTGGCGCACCCGTCCGCTCCCCCGAGGCCGCCGGGCTTCAGGGCTCGCACCTGGCGTCCGCCCCGCGCGGGGCCGCGGCACCTGGCGGCATTGTTGTCGCCTCCGGCCCCTCCCACCCACCTTCTCTCCCCAGACAGGACCCAGCACTGAACCCCACCTGCGCAGGGCCTGTATCCCTTTAAGAAGCCAGACGCCGCCAGGGGTGGGCGTGGTTGCCGCGGGCGAAGGGAGGGTGGCGGCGTCGGGCCTCCCTGATTGGCCCGAGGCCCGGGCGGCGGTCGCAGGCGCCTGCGCACTGCGAGGCACTGCGCGCCGGCCGTGGGGGAGGAGGGCGCGCGGGTGTTAATTGGCCGCCATGGCGGCCCCGCCCGCGAGTGGCGGGCGGTCACGTGACGCGACGGCTGGGGGCTCCCGGCGCGGGGGACGCTGGTGGCCAAGATGGCGGCGGAGCTGGTGGAGGCCAAAGTGAGTGAGCGGCGGCGGCGCCGGCCCGGGCGGGCGGGAGAGGGGGCGGGGGCCGGGCGGCGGGCGGAGGTCTGCGCCTTCCGCCTGGGGCCCCACCGCGCGGCCCGCTCGCGGTTCGCTGCCCAGCCCCCTCGCCCGCCCCTGGCCCTGGCGCGCCGGGTGCGGGCGGGGGGCGGGGAGGCCGGGGGCGGGGCCCCCCAAACCTTGCCCCAGCTTTCGGGCTGGGGCAAGGTTCCCGGGCTTGAGGCGGGGTCGCCCCCCAACTAGCCCAAGGTTAGGGTGCAGTCTTCCTAAGCACAGGGACAGGGCCGCGCCTCCCAGCTAGAGGCACAGTCTCCCGGATAGCATGACGGGCTGGGCTGCTTGTCCCCTCTTCTCCCTGAGCCGGGGTCCTACTCTTTGGCCTGGGGTGGGGGTGTCTTCGCCTCTCCGCTCCCCTCGGCACCGAGGGCTGGCATCTGGGTCTCAGCCTCCCCGCCCTGCAGACCAGCTGGGGTTGGCGACTCCCTGGTAAGAAGAGCCCTTTGACCCAGCCGCCACCGTTTCCACCATCCGGGTTGATGACCCAGGGTCTTGAAGCGCCCCGAAACACAGTGTTCTCTTGGGGTCTGTACCCCAGCGTGGAGTTTGGACCCCAAGTTCCGCTCCCGCGTTGGTCCCAGAGCCCCGCCCCCCTCCCGACACCATGTCTCTCACCCTCCGAGTGGGCACGGAGTCCCTTGAGTTTGCGCTCCCGCCTGGGACAGAGCCCCGATCCCTGCTCTCTGTTCAAAGCCTTCCTAACTCTCTCCTCGGTCTTGGGTGCTGGGCTCTGCCTTCCTCTCCCGTTTTGCCCCGGGGACCGCATCTGCGAGGCTTGGACTCTGCTCCTGGGGTCTCCAGGATCAGGCCCTGTTCTGGCTGTTTCTCCCGTAGTCCCTGGTGAGCCCACTGCGTCCCGCTCCCTCCACACAGCTCCCAAACCCCTGCTTTGGAACCAGCACCCCAACTCTGTCTTCTACAGCTCCCTCTCCCTTTCTGCCGGTTTTTTTGTGATCCATGGAGAGCCCCCCACCTCTTTCTTTAGTGCTCCTGGTGCTGCGCCCCCATACTCCATTTTGGGATCCAGGTTCCACATCTCATCGATGCTAGCCCCGTTCTAGGGATGTACCTTCTTCCGGGTACCCGCCCCACGGCAGGGCTCCAGAGGCCCTGTCCCCAACTACACTGGGGTTGTTTGCTGCCGCCTCCTCCTCCTGGAGAAGTTTATTCTAGGCCTTTGGTGGCAGGGAAGTGGGGCACCTGAGCTTTGCTGGACAGAGGCTCCGCCCCCACCCCCAGCCTCCCCTCCCCAGGGTCCTGACCTGTGAGTTTTCTCTCTCTTGTTCCTCTTTCTTCTTCCATCTCCCTTCCTTTTCACTGAGATCTGAAATGTAGCCCCCCCCCCGAGTGTTCCCCCTCCCCCCGCCATGCCTGCACTGCACGCCCTACCCTTCTCTAGGGTTTTGAGAAATTGGAGATTCGCTCTGGGGGTGTGGAAGCCTGAACTCTGCAGGCCCAACCAAGGTGGCAGCAAAGTCCCCCGGAGCCCTGAAATTCAGCCGTCCTGTGGGGCTGGGATTCTGGGCCCCTGGGCCCCTGCCCCCTGCCAGAGGGTGGGGACTAGATTCTTCTATACCATCCCAGGGCCTTGAAATATGATCTGATGAACTCTCCTTGACCCTCCGGTGGCTGGGGCCCCCCACCCCAATTAAATCAAGCTGACCCTCCTTTGAAGCTGTGTGAGACAGGAGCCTCTGTTGAGTGGCACAGCTTGCTCCGACCTTCCAGAACTTTCTTTAGTCCCTTGTCACCGTGGAGCACCTTATGTGTAATTGAAACGTGCTCTTCTTTTAGGTGCTTCCCGAACCTTTCCTAGTAAGAGCTGAGGGGCTTGTCTCTCTGGGCGCAAAACAGGCTGGGCCACGGGGAGAGCGACAGGGTCTTGTTGATAAACTTGGAAGTCAGACTCTTAACCCGAGGCCCCAGAGAGGGTTCATGGGGAGAGACGGCCTGCACAGGTCTCCCATTTCCCGGCCATGAGAACCTTAATCCCCCCCACCCCCCCGCCGCGCCCCGAGGGACCTGTCCCCTGGCAGGTTGATGAACCAGAGCGATGTTTTCCCCGCTGCCCCAAACCAGCCCAGCGTGGAGGCTGTGGAGGCCGCCGGGCCCGGCGCTGTTTGTAAACACAGATCTGCGGGCCAGGCGGGTGAGGGCGAAGCCATGGCAGGAAGTGATCTGCAGAGCGCTTGGGGCGTCTTCCTGAGCGTTTGTGCCCCTGTCACGCTGTCCCCCGCCCCCCCCCCGGCTCCCCTCCCAGTGTCAAGGGCAGGCTTCATGGTGGTGGCAGCTGCTGAGAAATCCTAGTTGTGAACATATGGCAGCTTGAGGGACGTGCCCAGGATGCGCGGCAGCTCCGGATGTCCAGCCTGGTGAAGGGGCTGCTGGGCGGGGGCGCCTTAGGAGATGCGTGGTGGTCAGACGCCCACAAGCCCACCTGCCTTTAGCTCCGTGGTGGGCGGTCAGCCTCCACACGACATCCACTTCTCCCCTCCGAGGCCTTGGGCCTCTTCCAGAAGAAACATCTTGTCCGCAATCCTATTTTCTCTGCTCAAGGTGGGAAGCCAGGCTACGGAAGGTGAAGTCTTTGGGCTCTCTGAGGGCCAGCACGGTGCTCAGGCCCCGAGGCAGGGGCTGTGCTGGGATGTGAGGGTCCCCAGGACCCCAGACAGCTGGGTGCGGGCGGAGGGCTGTGCCCTCGGGAGTCGGATGCCTCCCGCCACCCACTACGCAGGGAGGCTCTGGGCCAGCCGCTCCCTTCACGGAGCCCTGGCTTTCTCAGCAGCCCGGTGGGCACGGCCCCCTGGGAGATGCGTGTCCAGGAAGAGGCCCCGTGGCGGGCACCGTGCATCGGTGCTGCACGACTAGGGAGAAGGCCCTGCAGCAGGAAAAGGCCCCCCTGGAGATTTTGCAGGCAGGACAGGGCAGCCCCACACGCCTGCGTCTGTGGCTTCGGCCCCGACAGCCCCTCTGCCGTCAGCAGGCACCTGGCATACACCTGGGAGGGGGTGCCCAGAGGACAGAGGTACCAGGGTCGTCGGGGAGCCCAGGGCTGCCGTCAGACACCACGGCTCACGCTTAAACAGCCAGGAAAAGGGAAACCTCCGGGCACTGTGGCCACCGTGTCAGCGCCCTGGCCCAGCTCCCATCCCCTGCCGACCATCAGACTCTTACGTTGAATTTACGGACTTTATTGGTTTCCTGGGGGGCTGCCCTGCCCCGTGCTCGCCAGCTCTCCGTACCCATTCTCGTCGCTTGTACCCGTTTTCCCCGTTCCCCCCGGAAGTTTCTTTTTTCCACCATGTTTCATTCATCACAGGCCAGTTTTTGGGGCTCGGTGTGGGTGGCCCATCCTTCAAGGATATTTAGCTCACATAGCCTGTTGGGGACCCTCCCACCCCTCACTCCCCTTGGTGTCCCAGGGTCTCACAGAGGCCAGGCCACCCCAGAGAAGATGTTGGCATCAACTGAGCTCTTGTGTTTGGTTTGATTCAGTTGGAGGGACCGTGCCTGGTCCCCCAGGCCCTCCCTGTAGACCCGTGGTTCTCAGTGGGCTGGTGCTGTCCCCACAGGACGCTTCGCAGAGTCCGGGGGACGTTGGCGATGGTCACTGCTGGGGTTTGGGGGCTCCTGGCGTTGCGTGGGCGGAGACCAGGGAGACTGCTGAGTGCCCCGCGGGGCCCGGGACGGCCCCGCCCCAGAGGACAGTCCAGCCCCCACATCCACAGTGCTGAGGCGGAGAAGGCCTGCTGGGATACGGCGGACATTTGATGCTTGCCCGCGGTCGGCCTGTGTGGACACCTGTGGTGGGTGCAGCAGAAGGAGATTGCCCCTGGCTTCGGAGCCAGGTCCAGGCCTGGGTTTGGATCTCACCCCAGCCGGGCAGGGTTGTTACAAGAATCAGAGTTAAGTGTATATAATCACATGTGCAGCCCGGTTCCCAGTAGGTGATTAGTATTAAGTTGTGGCTGCCGTTCTCCAGACGGAAGGGAAATGTGTTTGTGGCCGACGTTGACTTACTCTGCTTTCCGTGTACGTTACCTACCTCTGGTCCTTCCCACATCCCGACGGAGTGGATCTTGCCATCCTGACGAAGAGACTGAGGATCAGAGAGGCCATTAGTGTCCTTGGCTAGGGAGTGTCTGAGGCTGTTTACGGGTAAAGCAAGATCCCCAGTTCCTGCCCTGGGGATGCTCTCAGGCTCGAAGACGGGAAAAGAGAACCTAAAATAGAAGGTAGTGGTGTGTGTCGGGGGAGGGGGGCAGTCAGAAGCTTTTGCTGCGTTGGCAAAGCTGAGGAAGATTGGAGGAGGGGGAGGAGGGGAGCACGGCTGAGCTGGGGGGGCATGACGAGGAAGGGTGAGCTGGCAGCCTGAGCAAAGGCACGGCGGTGGGACGGAGCCTGGGCTAGTGGCCTGCCGCTAGAGCCGCCTCCTCCCCCTGGGCTCCTGCCGGCTAGAGCGAAGGGAGCTGGGGGCAGGGCCAGGCAGCACCTGATGGGCTCTCACTTCCCTGTCCCCTCACAGTTAGCGCCCAGGTGGCCCCAGGAAGCCCCTTGGCCCGTCGGCACCCCGAGTGTGGCAGCTTCCCCTCTGAGCATGTGTGTCTGTGGTTGCTCTTCCCCAGAACATGGTGATGAGTTTCCGAGTCTCCGACCTTCAGATGCTCCTGGGTTTTGTTGGCCGGAGTAAGAGTGGACTTAAACACGAACTTGTCACCCGGGCCCTTCAGCTGGTCCAGTTTGACTGTAGCCCTGAGCTGTTCAAGAAGATCAAAGAGCTGTACGAGACGCGCTACGCCAAGAAGAGCTCGGAACCTGTCCCCCAGCCCCACCGGCCCCTGGACCCCCTGACCATGCACTCGACCTACGACCGGGCGGGCACGGTGCCCAGGACTCCCCTCTCGGGCCCCAACATTGACTACCCCGTGCTCTATGGGAAGTACTTGAATGGACTTGGACGCTTGCCCACCAAGACCCTCAAGCCAGAAGTGCGCCTGGTGAAGCTGCCCTTCTTTAACATGCTGGATGAATTGCTGAAGCCCACAGAGCTGGGTGAGTCTGCCCGCCCCGGGGGTCTCGCCCTCTGCACTGGCCCAGAGCCCGCGGCCTGCCACGTCGCCGACCCGGAGCGTTTTCTGGGGAGCAGCAGGGGCCGTGGGCTTGTGGAGGGCTTTCCCTCTCTGGAAGCCCAGCGGCCACCTTTGAGTATTTATATTAGCCCTGTAGCATCATCTTAGAAATAACTCTACAGTTTTGTAGCTTAAAACCACAGACGCTCATTTGCTGCCAGTTTGTGAGAATCAGAGCTTGGGAGTGGCTTCGCTGGGTGGTCCTGGCTCGGGGTCTCGTGGGTCTCAGTAAAGTGGGGTCTGTCTCATCGGAAGGCCCAACTGGGGCTGGGGGCCACCTACTCACCTGGCTGCTGGCAGGGCTTGGTTTCTTGCTGGCTGTTGGCTGGAGACCCCAGTTTTTGCCTTGCGGGCTCCATAGACTCTGCTTGAGGGTCCTTGCGGTGTGGAACGGAGCCTGGCTTCCTCTGGAACCAGTGTGGTGGGGGGTGGGGGGGCACGCGTTAGCGTGCGCCCGTGTGTGTAGGATCAGCCAGAACCACATCCTTTCAACGACCTGAGCTTGGAAGTGGCATGACCTTGTGTTCTCTACACTGCGTTGCATCCGTCACACAGACCAGCTCTGCACGCTGTGGGTGGGGACTGTCCAGAGGCAGGGTTCGCAGGGGGCCCCCTGGATGCCGGTGGGTGGCAGAGGGGCTGGAAGTCGGATCCGAACATTCCTCTGCGGAAAGCTGGTTTCCTGGTGGGCGGCCCACGGGAGCAGCTTGGCCAGGGGGCAGGCCGATGAGCAGGGGCCAGGGGCGTAGGGGATGGCTCGCCACGCCCCCAAGACGTAGGGCACCGCCCTGGCTTCAGGGGACCTGGGCCTGGGCTCGGGGGCTCCTCCCCACTCGTCCCTCCACCTGCTGGTGGACAGGCCCCCGGCCCCTCACAGGCGGCTGTGATGATGGGGCACAGCGGCGGGGGGGGGGCGTGTCAGCCTGGTCTCGGCCTCACATCCTGCCCCCACCTCAGGGTGGGGAGGGCCCACCAGCCACAGCTCCCTGCACCCCCAGGGCTCTAGATAGCGAGTCCAGTGCGACGGGGTTCTTGGCGCCCCTCACATTTGACTGGGTCCTCACGTGGCCCTGGAGACCCCTCTCGGTGTCATTCTCCCTGCCTCTTCCGTCTCCTCGCCTTCCTTCATTCCCTCATCATCTCAGCAGATACGTGAGGGTCTGCATGTGGGTGCCCGGGGGACGCACCCTGGGGACGCGGCCGGGGACAGGCAGAGCCCCCACCCTTGCAAAGGTCCCCTTTCCGCCATCCTAGTTTAGGGCCCAGAGGTGCTGCCAGCCCATGTCGGCGCCCCTGCGGCCCGGTCTCCACACCTGTCTTCCAGCCCCCGCGTCCTCACCGCACCCCTGCTGCACACTGGGCCCTGGTCGTGAGGCGGTCCCTGTGCGCCGTGGCAGAGGCCGTAGTCCCTCCGGGCCCCCATCCGCCATGCCCCTCACTGTGTGGTTCGCTCCCGCCCACCCTGCTGAGCCAGCGTCCTGTCTGGCCCGGCCAGGGGCCCCTCTGCACACGGCCCGCCCGCTCTGTCCGCCCCCTCCTCGCCGGAGCCCTTGAGCTTTGTGAGGTTGGGCCGTGGGTCCAGGTAGGGCTGCGGGAGGTGGAGGAAGGGGTTGCTGGTGGCCCAGTCTGGGGGTCCCCAGGCTCTGCCCCCCCTTGGGTGCTTGTCAGCAGCCCCTGGGTAGGGAGCAGGTTGGCTGAGCAGCACCTGTCGTGGGGGTGACACGGCAGCACACGGGGCCCCGAGGCCCTTTCCTGAGTTTCTCCAGGACAGCCTTCCGTGTCTCTGCTCCCCCAGCTTCTCTGTGCCCCACCCCGGGCACTCCAGCAGGCCGTGCGAGCCTTGGCACTGCTGGCTCTGAAGGTCCGGCCGACGTTACAGGTTCCTAAGGACTCGAGGATGATCTTCGTAACAGGGAGGCCGGGTTTTCACCGGGAAGCAGTAAGTCAGGCCTGGCACTGGGCGGGGGACGGAGATGACTTTGAACTCAAGGGCCAGCAGCCTTCCCCTTCCCCTGCCTGGACCATGGGTTTCCTTCCTGCATGGCCCACTCCCGCCCCCGTCCCACAATGCATTACTTTGCCCCGAGCCCCCGGGGACCCCGGTCACCTGATCTCCGGGAGAGTCTGCTCCCCTGTCTGCACCAGGAATCAGTCTGCTGGCGGCTCAGAACAAAGAGGCCGACCCCGCCCCACCCCTGTTCCCACCCACGGCCCCACCCCATCCCCAGCGCACCCCTCCCCTGGGACTACCATCCTTGGGGACCCGCAGGGGCTGCCAGGCTCACAGGCAGAGTCCTGGTGGGCCCAGCTGTGGCCCCGAAGCAGGCTGGTGCCCCCGTCCCAGGACCAGCGGTGTCCACCCAGCCCCCCACCTGGGCGCCTCCCTGTGGCAGCTTCGGGGCGCTGGCCCTACCCCGGAGCCACTTCACCAGGCTCTCGCTAAGCCAGTCTTCCCCTCCCCCTCGCTCCTGACCGTGACCTGCTGACCAGAACGAGGTTCATACACACTGGTCTGTTTCCCCGGAAGAGCCGCCGGCCGGCCCCAGCTTCAGGACAGAGACCGTGCCGGGCGCAGAGGGGACATAAATCACAGAGAGTGGAATGTTTGGGTTGGGGGAGGGGAGGAGAATAATGGAGTCACAGACCGAGAGCTGGAAGGACCTTAGGAGACAGATGATCTGCCGCTGTGGGGCTGGCACCTAGGGAGGTCGGGAAACCGGCCTGAGGTCATATGCCATCCTGAGGATGGGGCCCAGGGTCTGTGCGTTCGCCCATCTTCTCGACGCTGACCCCTCCCCAAGTGGTCTGTGCCCGCGCCCCTGCGGGGAGGTGCCCATCTTGAACCACGTGAAGGATCTGGTCACCAGGCCTCCTCTTAGCTCAAAGAGCCTGGATGTCTTCCCTGTCCCAGCCGGGAGAGGGGCACCTGACTCCCGACCACAGCCGAGTTCGGCAGAGGGGGGCAGGGGACACCGTCTCGGTCGTGGCCCTGCAGCTTGGTGCTCCCTGGGCGTCTCACAGCCTGAAGGCTCCCCCAGCCTGGCCACTCGGGGTGTCAGCGGCCAGTCTGACGGGAGAGGCCCATACCCGTCGGGCATGGGGAGAGAGGAGAGGCCGTTGTGAGGCCTGAGGGCAGAAGGAAGGAAATGTGTTGGGCCGATGCGGTGCTGCTCCGTGAGGCTCTGGTGTCCTGGGGCCAGCGCCTCAGGCTGTGGGGCCATCACATCCCTGCTGCCCTGGAGCAACGGAGCCCCCTGCCAAGACAGTGCCCGGGCTCCCCTGGCTCCCCGAGTGCCCCTAGACATGGGCGGCACCAACGTGGGCCAAGGTGTGCTGCCCAGCACCTGCCCTGTAGTGTGGGGCCCATGTGCGTCCCTCATCCAGCCTCTAAGGCTCCACGTGGTATCGTCCAGGCAGCAGGCCGGCGTGGGGTGCCCAGCCTGGTGTGTTCTGCCCAGAAGGTGCACACACGTGATCAGCCTGGCCCGGGGGTGGGTGAGTGAGGAGTCCAGACTTCCCAGGGGGCAGTCAGTGCCAGGAGCGCCTTATCAGGCATTTCTGAGGGAGTGCAGTCCCGAGGCTTCCTGGAGGAGGTCGCATTCTGGACCTGAGGGGTGAGTAGTCATAGCCAAGTCATGACCAAGAGGAAGGAGCAGGGCAGGCCTGGCAGCTAGCGAGCGACGCTGAGGGACGGGAGGCATTGGGACTGGAGCTGTGTGGCAGTGGAGGGGGCCAGGCCACAGGATGAGCGGGCCGCAGGCATGTGGGGACCGACGGCACTGTCCCCAGGCCTCGGGGTCGCTGAAGGTCCGGCAGGCTTCTCCAGGCATCCTTCCGTTGGGTCCTTTCTGAGGTGGGGGTTCCCCCTGAGGTGCAGAGCCCCCTCCCTGGTTCCTCAGCTCCATTCCAGGTCCGGTCTCACGGCGTCGGGCAGGTGGCCTGACCCAGCGCCAGGCCTGCTCACCCGGCCGCCTCGCCAGGGTCTTCCCCGGTGGTCAGAGGAAACTGCAGATAGGGGGCCAGTCGTGTCCCGCCTCTGCTCGGAACACGCCCGTGACCCGCTGGCTTTTCTGCCTGGTCCCCTCCCTGCCCTCCCTTCCTCTTTCTGTCTCCCTTGCCCACTCTGCGCAGCCACACAGACCTCACTGTCCTCTGAAACATGAGGCCTGGTGCTGCCCTGGGGCCTTTGCACGTGCTGTTTCTGCGGTTTTATACTTTCCCAGGCCCTACGTGGGCTTTCCGTCCCCGATCACCTAAGCTAAAGCTTATCTTCCTTCCTATTTTTTTTCCCCTCACCTCATTACTACCCTTTGATCCTCCATGGCCCTGTCCCCAACCCCGACATCGCTCATGAATCTGTACGTGTTCTCTGACGCGTGGGCCTGGGCCTGGTTTGTTCTCGCGCTGCAGCCACGGTGTGGAGCGGGTCAGGGGGCGCTCTGTGTGAGCAGAGGCTCGTTGCTGGAAGCAGTCTGGGGGCTGCAGTGAGGCGACCCCGAGCGAACATTCTCCAGCTCTCCTTCTGTGTCTGAGCCCCTTCCAGCTGCGTAACTGCATGGGCAGTGAGTCACGAGCCCACCGGTTACGTGTGGCCGCCCCTGTGAGTGGCGGGGTGGGTGTAGGCCCTCTGCACTCAACCCGGGGCTCCTGGCTTCCTGTCTCTGAGACCTTGACCTCTCCGTTGGGGACTAGGGCTAGTTTGTGGCGGGGCAGACTCTGTGGGTCCAGGGACGTTGGCTTAGAGGACACGCCTTCATCCTCCTCTGAGGTTCTAGGGTGCAGGAGGCTGTAGGCCAGTGGGAGGGAGACTGGGCCTATCTGATGGACTGTTTTTTAAGTTTACTTGTTTATTTTGAGAGGGAGGGAGAAATTGTGAGTGGGGGAGTATCAGAGAGAGGGAGGGAGAGCGAGAATCCCCAGCAG